CTTTGCTGAGCTGTTCGTCAGGGCTGGGCTTCTGGGCTGGATTTTTGATGGGTTTGAATTGATTTGTTAACTCAGGGCTTATTGCTATTCCATTGTCAATAGTGCGTAGCAGAAAGAGCTGAGATTTAAGAGAACTGAAACTCTTTGGAACCTCAACAACAGGCTGTGTGTTGTGGCTCATGTGCTTTCACAGCCCCTTTCTTTCCAGTTTTTCCAGTATGGCCTGAATTCTGTGGACGGACTCTTTCCTGGCCTGCCGGACGCTGTCCTGGCCCCCAGTCTCAATGGAATCCAGCTCCAGCAGCAGCTTGGTCAACATCTCCTCCAGGAGCCGGTAGGATTTATCTGTCTTTTTCCCTACAAATTCTTCCACCTCTTCCTCCAGCTGTTCAGCCTCCCCCATCACGTGGAGGATCCTCTGAATCTCGGGCTGCATGGCTGCAGGGTTTGTGGAAGGCTGCTCAGCAGGTTTGAAGCCCAGCTCCCGGCTCCCGGCCACGGGCTTCCGTGGAGCGAGGTCATAGAGCTGGGGCTGGGCACTGTACTGCACCCGCGGCTGGGACGGGGCAGCCCTGGCTATCCTGTGCTCATTCCCCACCCCAGAGTGCCTCTGGTTGACATCAGAATAGTAACTGCGTTGGCTGGGGCTTTGCTCAGGTCTGTCGTAGACAGAGTCCTGCAGTCAGAGGGAGAGAACATCTCTAAGTGCATTTCCCTTAAACACGGAGGGTTCTGCTCTCATCCTGCACCGAACAGTGCTGGGGATGCTGGGGACAGGAACCTGTGCCCTGGTCCCCATGTTAGAAAGCAAGGGGCACCTGTCCAGAGGAGGAGTCTGAGCCCCCAAACCCCCATCAGGGCTGCTGCTGCCTGGGGACCAAAAACGTGGAGTCTCTTAACTCCTGATCCAACCCAGACAAAGCCTGTCAGACCCATTTCAAGAGCCACCCCAGGACATCCTGTCCTTCCAGTGCATTACGGAATCACAGCCACGGATTTAAGCCTTCTGCATGCAAACAGGACCTCACCTGTCCCTGTGACTCCCAGGTGGGAGGGTGGGAAGGAGCCCCGCTGCCGCTCCAGGGTGGCTGTGAATCGGACACGTAGAGGCTGCCGTGCCCCGAGGCCGCGGGCCAGGCGTAACGCGGCTGCACCCCAAAGACAGAGTGGGGGCCCCACGTGTCCTCCAGGGCTCGGGGCTGTGGCACCGGGCCCTGCCCCGGGAGCCCTGCACTGCTGTCTCCGTACGGGTACTGCGGCATCGGCATTCCAGGGGTCTGAAAGGATGGGGGGAACAGGAATTACAGCTGGGGTCACCCCCAGCACTGCACCCTCTGACAGCCCTGGGAGCTGGACAGGGCAGTGGGGACGGGCTCTGCTCCCAGGGAACCAGGAACAAGAAAAGGGGAGAGAGCCGCGAGCTGTGCCAGGGGAGGGGTTCAGGTTGGACATCAGGAATTTCTTCATGGAAAGGGTTGTAAAATATTGGAACATTATGGCTGGGGAGGTGGTGGAGTCCCCATCCCTGAAGGTGTCCAAGGAAGGACTGGACGTGACAGTCAGTGCCCTGGGCCGGGTGACAAGGTGGGACCGGTCACAGGTTGGATTCTGGGATCTTGGAGGTCTTTTCCAACCTCAGCAATCCTGGGATTCTGGGAAGCAGCTGCAGCTCAGGCTGGCTGCCCAATTCCTGCTTTCCTAGCCCGAGCTCAGGGTCTCCAGAGAACAGGGTGACCACCAGTTTTTTTAAGAGTAAAACCAGGCAGGACAAGGTGCTCGAGAGCCACGGGGACCCCCAGCTCCACGGCCCCAGGACCCCCCATGCCAGGACCCGCGGGCTCCGAGCCGGGGCTGGGAGCACCCCTTACCTGTGGCGGGGAGTAGCCGGGGACCTGCTGCCTGCGGAGCGCGGAGCCCTCGGGGGGACACTCCGGGGGGCCGTAGCTCCAGGCGGGAGCGGGCGATGGGGGCCGGTAGAAGCCGGCGGGCTCTGTGGGGTAGGGGCTGCGCGGGGGCCCCGAGCAGCAGAAGCCCCGTGCCTGCGGCAGGCTGGCGTAGTGCGGGTACGGGGGGCTGTACGCTCCGTTGGCGTAGGGAGAATCCATTGCCTGGGAACAAGGGAAGAGCACAGGGAAGGCGATGGGCCACGGACACGGACACAGGCGCTCCAGGAACGAGAACTGGCCCTTCCTGCAGTATTTAACTAGGGGGTTCCTTTGCCCTCAAGCTGATCTGCCCCAGTTTGAGGCTCTCGTGGTCTAAGCTGGCTGTACCAGGTCTAACACTGAGCTTAAGCAGGTCTGGTTCAGGGGCAGGTGTGCAGCCTCTCACAGCGAGCAGCTCCCAGAGGATCCAGTGCCAGCACTGCATCCCCGACCAGAGCACAGAAAATGCTCCAGGAAAGTTCATTTTCCTGCTCATTCTCACAGAGACACGATTCAAACAAGCTCCACCAGCCAGCGCTCAGCTCCTTGAGCTGCAGGTTGTGTGGGTCTCTGTATGGAAGGTCTGCACAGCCAGGGCACATCCGAGGATTTACCTGGATCCATCCCAAAACTGATGTGTAGGGAACATGAGTTTCCACCTGACTGCAGAGGGGATACTGAAGCCCAGGATTTCAGGAGCTCAGGGAATGACTCCCTGTACCTTAGGGCAAAGCAGTTTTTCCCCTGAGCTGCTTCCCGGAGCGCAGACTGTACAACCTACGTGCCAGGATTTATGGAAGAGCCAGACCAGTCGGGTGTCCCACTGGATAAACCAAACTACAGCCGTGGCTGGAGAGCAGAGCCGGCTCTGGCAGGGCACAGCCGCTCCCGTCACACGGAGCTCGCACAGGAGCCCAAAACCCAGCTGCGATAAATCCCGCAGGCAACGGATCCGGGAATGCCCAGCCACGGGACCGTGACCCTGCCGCTCGGGAAACGGCTCCGGGATCCCCGCTCCGGGATCCCCGCATTCCCGGGATCCCCGCTCCGGGATCACCGCTCCGGGATCCCCGCATTCCCGGGATCCCCGCATTCCCGGGATCCCCGCTCCGGGATCCCCGCGTTCCCGGGATCCCCGCTCCGGGATCCCCGCGTTCCCGGGATCCCCGC